TTAGTCAGATATGAACAAACCAAGCTGAGTTACCTTCTTGTGGTTCTTTACTGATTAGGGTTATAAGACGGAGTTTACTCAATGCACATTACACATTATCAGAGTGACGAGAAAAATCTACAATAACTACGTAGAACCAAAACCGGAGTTAAGGGTCATCATTTACAGGGCGTTTGGTTGGAGGGATTTTAAATTCCCTTCCCACTTAATTCCCACCTAATTCCAAAGACCATTAAATTCCGTAGTTTGGTTGGAGGGAATTGCAATTCCCCAATTTTCATGAAATTAAAATCCCGTGTCTCCCCCTGGTATTTTAATTCCTGGGAAAAAAATATAGTGATGAGTCAAAATTACCCCTTCCTTTTTTAACCTAAAATTAATGTCTAACAACAATAATGGACATTTTTGACTTTATACTACTTATTCCCTTTCAATTCCCATGTATACCAAACATTGGAATTGAAATTCCCAGTAATTCTATTCCTGTCAACCAAACACTGGAATTTAAATTCTCACTTTATTCCCAGTAATTCAACTCTCATGGAATTACAATTCCTTTCCCACATAATTTCCCCTCCAACCAAACGCCCTGTTAGGGTTTATAATTTGTTAATTACTCCTTAATTGAAAAGAAGAGAAGGATTATATTTTTTATTCGGAGTATGAATCAACTTAAACAATGATTAGCGATGACATGTACAGTGATTAGTGATATATATGTCCTTGCTGTTTACCAATGCCGATATTATATCTTTCTAGTCCCCAATCATGAAAATTTTATCCAATAAAAAAAATATTCCCAACAAATACGTTGTATATATAGGATGATTTCAATTCAAAGACTGCCTAGAATAGGAGTATCTTTAATGGCCCGTTTGGTTCACGGAATAGGCTGGGAATGGCATAGCATTCCCAGTAATAGGCCTATTTCTTTGTTTGGTAACCATTTCTATTACCAGGAATAGTATTCCTGGTAATAACCTATTACCTCAAATAAGGTAATAGCTATTACTAGGGCCCCCCCTGGTATTAGCCTATTACTGAACGCTCAGAAATAGATTTTAGAATCTATTTCCTTTTTTACCCATTTCTTTAACCTAATTTTTTATCCTATATATAAATTTATCCTATTTCACCACCGTCGTTGCCACCACCGCCGCCGCCGCCGCCGCCACCACCACCACCACCATCGCCGCCACCACCACCACCACCATCGCCACAATCGCCGCCCCCACCACTGCCACCACCACCGCCACCACCCAGCAGCACCACTGCCACCACCACCACAACCGTCGCCGCCCCCACCACTGCCACCACCACCGCCACCACCACCACTACCACTCCAGCACCACCGCCACCGCCGCCACCAGAACCACCACCGCCCCCGCCACCACCACCACCGCCACAACCGTCGCCGCCCCCACCACCACTGCCACAACCGTCACTGTCACCACCACCACCGTCGCCCCCACCACTGCCACCACCACCACTGCCACAACCGTCACTGTCACCACCACCACCGTCGCCCCCACCACTGCCACCACCACCACCACCACCCCAGCACCACCACCACCCCCATCACCACCACCGCCACCACCACCGCCACCGCCACCACCACCATCGCCACCATCACATATTTTTATAAGGGTATTTATGTCTTTTAAAACATATTTCATTTCTATTCTTTAAATCAACCAAACACTGTAATATAATTCCTAAAGTCTATTCCTTCCGCGAACCAAACAATAGAATACAATTCCTATTCTATTCCTTGCCTATTCCATTCCTTATGGAATAGCATTCCTATTACCTCAAAATTCATTCCGTGAACCAAACGTGTTGTAAATGATTTGATGGGACAGTTAATTACTAGTGAAAATTTCTATAATTATGTCATAATCTTCGCCTGTAATCTGATTGTGCTTGACAGAACACACTTTTGGCCAATGAATTGAAATTATAACTGATCACAAAATTTCCGAAAAGATTGATTTCATGGATAGTGAAAAATAAATTATTGAAAATATTGATTCAGATCCATTGTTTAATTGGTGGAAAATAATTTACAATTTCGATCCATTAAAATTGTAAGGAATATTAATGCATATAAATATTTCGTTTTGGGAGGCAGAGGAGTTGGCCCAAAAGAAATTGTTACTTGTAGGAATCAAACCCGAATCATTTTAAATTTCTCTCCACAAAGAAAGCTCATTTGTCATTTAAGTTAGTCCATTAAATTCAAGTGAGTGCTTAATTATAACATTCTTAGTTTTAACCAAAAGTTGTTGGCTACTTGGCTCAAGGGTAAGAACCCCGAGTTTTTTTTTTTTTTTTTTTTTTTGTTTTTTGTTTTTTAATTTTTTATCATTCAATTAAGTATGAGTTATTACTCATATGGAATGGAATTTGATCAAAACTTACTAAATTTGTCATATTTAGCGAAATGGATATATATACTAATGTATTGACATAAATTTTGAAATTTGAGTTTTGTATTTTACATGATTATATTATAATTGAAATGTTACACTTGATTAATTTTTGAAATTTGAGTTCCATATTTTACATTATTATTGAACCGTTATTTAACGGAGATTATATTAGATAGTGATATAAGTTTATAATGATTACATGAAGACAATGTCAATAGCTTGCATGAAACAAGGCTAGGCTGGAGTTCACAAAGAGAAAAAAAGAGATTAAGGTGGGGTTCATATATGATTTTGACATATCAATATTCAATATCAGAACCTGAGCCCCCAACCTTGATGCGTATGATCATACTGTCGGTGCGTAACAACTTTCTTCTTAATTAGTTTCATTTGTTTTTATAACCCTAAGTTTTTAGCTTTCTCGAATTATATCTAAAAAGTAAAACCTTATTAACTCGCCTCCAGCCAAAGCATATAAAGAGATAAACTCAATTTACTTAACTTTGAATATCACACCAAAATGTATCTTTGTGTGCATAAGGAGCTCAACTCCAATTCTATCTTACTACTACAAGAAAATTTTAAACTAATGCAACTATTCATCTATTAGACTATCGTTCTGAGACAAGTTTCATTTTTTTGGGTATTCTTTTAGACAATGCGAACCTGAGATCGACATATTAGTCTGTGTTTTTCTTCTACTCTTTTTTTGTTTTGTTAATTTTAATCTTCTTCTTTTATGGTCGGTGGGCAGAAAAACATAGTGCCATAAAAAGCAGTCAACATTCATTAATCGCACAACATTTCATCCATTTGTATATGTATTTTTCTTGCAATTTTTGAATTCAAAATACAGACAGGTGTGGCCCTCATCACCTTTTGATGAGTAAGATGAAATAAGGCCATAGGGGCTTGGTTGATGACATATTTTTAAATAAAATATTTTGGTGAATAAATTTTTCAAGTAAAGTTGAAAGCATAATTAATTTTACTTCTTAAAAAAAAAAACATGTACATTTATAACAAAAAGAAAAAATGATAAAAATTTTCTTTCCTTTCTCATTATTTTCGATTAAAAATTTATTGTTCGCTATAAAAAAATATTTTTTAAACTCTTCAAACTAATTCTCATTCGTACCATTCAACTTAAAATATAAAGTGCTGACTATAAATTATGATATAATTGAAATAAGTTATTTGGTCAGTTGAGTCTTTTATTAATGGTTAGTAGAGAACTATTGAAATTTAGATGGAGGTTAGATAAATAGAGTGCATGCCGTTACTATATTTTGGATACATTTTTCTTTGAAACCGACAATCAAATTAAACCTGAAATGCAAAACGGCAAAAAAGTTGTCGGCGGCATCATTGATCATCTAGGCTATTCTTGAAACCTTTACTCCACACCATATATGCAGTTATGCACCGAATGAAACTTGCATGATAGCACATCAGATTTTATCTTTTAGTAAGAAATAACACCCAATTTTTTTTTTTTTTTATCAATTTTCTTTTTCACAAATTTACAAGTTTCCAGAACATGATTTCTGTATTAAAAGATTACATATTTGATTATTGTTAACATTCTTTCGATCGAGTCTAGACTATTACACAAGAGTAGAGTTTATAACCTCAAATAGTGACCACGCACTAGGCAGTAGACACCAATAATATAATCTAAATCCGAATTGAATTGAATTGAAGTAGATAGAGGAAAGACTATGGCCCTGTTTGGTAAAAAATTGGCCTATAAGTCAATTTTGGCTTATTTGACCATTATTAATTGTTTGATTTAGTTAAAATATCAATAGAAATATTTGGTTAATTAGTTTTTTGCAACTCCAAAAGGCTAAAATTCAAAAGGCTACTCCAAACAACTTTTTCAATTAATTTTTTGAGAAAAAAATTATACCAAACAGCTATCAGCTAATTTACCAAACACTTTTCTACAATCATCTAATGTTATCAACTATTTATACCCTTTAATTAACATAACCAGCTAACAGCAAACAGCTATCAGCTAACAGCCATTTTACCAAACAGGACCTATATGTAGTTAAAGCATCATTTTTAGTTTAGCATGTATACATATTTGTGAAATCAATGGCAGCCTTTTGAATGCCTAAAGTTGTACCTACTCATTTCACCTTTCTTACTAGTTCTTACCTACACAAACTAAGCTAACTTTTTGGACCACATTCCTGGTAAAATCAACTTTACTTTCTTAAATGAGTTTTTGTACTTCAATCCCAAGGTGACCCCATTCTTGTTTTGAAGTTTTAGTGAAGGAGGTAAATCGCAGAAAGGAAGTTAGAAATCAAACCCTTCATTTTGCAGTTGTCAGCGAACTTTAATTAATCAGTACTATCGCTGAGAATACACAACATTTGGCTTGGTAATCACAATATTTTAAATTTGAAGGAAGCTACCTATTGGCCTTCTCAATTTGAGCATGTCAATTATGGGCAACCTAGACTCGTTTACATCTTTGTGGTCATTTGTCGGCTAGAGTCACAAGGCAGGATTCACCCATAGCACACCTTCAAATAATGACTGCAGACTTTTCCGTAAATCAAATAATACACCACGTTAAATATATTTCTTATCATTTCACCAAAGAAAGGAAATTGATACTCAAGAATTGTAGACTATAGTACTATACCACAACAAATATGAAGATACAAAGTAAGAAAATACTATAAGCACCTCTGTGAAATGTTCGACTGACCAAAATACTAGAATCCAAGTGCAGAGTTCCCTCAAGTTGGTCTGTATCTTCATTATCTTGTTTATCAGTTAATACCGTTTTTCCTTTCCAACTTTATTGCCTCGTAGGACTTCATTACTTCCTTAAACTGTGCTTCAGCAATATCTGTAGTCACAGCACAAGGGTAGATATGCGAGTCAATCATTTATATGCATACAATTTATTTCAAAATTATTTTGAATGTGTACCCACCTTTGTTATCTGGATTCTGGTCGGGATGGAACTTCTTCGCCTTCGTCCTAAAGGCAATCTGCATCGGAAAAGGAAAGCAGCAGTAAAATAGATCTTGGATGGAGCTCAGAACCAGGCATCAATGTCAATATCATCAGTCTTCTAAAACGTCAATATTTAATAATCTGCTAGATAAACCTAGCAGCTAGAAGGGATAAGGTAAGTGGCAATAGCATTCACCGTTTTAGTTTTTTTACTTTCGGCTGGGCAATAAAAAGAGAAGGGTTCTCCCAAATTTCTTCTCTCCTGAAAATAAATAGTATGGGAAGAAATAAATTACCTTTATTTCGTCATCCGTATACGGTTTTGTCCTTGACCTGCCCAGAGAGCAATCAAAATGTCTAAAATAAAAGCATATGCACGAGAATTTGAAGAAAAGGAGCCAATTTGAAGAATGAGTAATGATTGGGATGATCGGTGCTATAAGGCCAAATGACCATTTTTGTACCTGTCAAGACCCAATACGGAATAGTGATGGGACAAAGAGTAGCCTGTATTTGCCTGATGAGGTTCCCGGAAATTAGTTCCCTGGTATCTGTATGATGTATCGGCCTTCCAATACCAATCGTTCCTCTCGAAATGTTGATGATATGCACCGCCATTTTCTGCCCATCTCTCGTAGCTTGTTTTGTATTTATTTCTCTCTCGGTTGAAAACATTTTGCATGCGACGTATACGCTCCTAGGTAACCATAAAGAATTATTCCAATAAAACCATTACTTGTTATGTAAGCAGAGAGAATGAGAGATACCTAATAAAGATCTAAAGGGGAATGGGGCACATAAACGTGTCAACAGATATATATATATATATAAGTAGCGCTATTGTATATGGTTTAATCTTACCACTCTCTCCATTTCCTCTTCATACTCCTCCCGCATCCTACGATTGTATCTCTTCCACGCTTCCTCCTGAAAGCTTGTCCTGTAAGAACGACTGCCCTTACGCTTCCACGCTGACTGCGACCTGCCCAGCTTTTGCCATTCAATAACATCCACAATCAGATTAAGCAATAATATACCAATCTGGCCAGCACTTTGCCCCTTAATTGGGTCGGCCCGGTGCGAATGGGGATTAGTCTGAGTATGGTACGAGCTTAAAAGTGCCTCTTACAGTTAGGGTCTGCTCAGGACACCTCATGGTCTAACAAAAAAGATAATACTCTTGTTCACCCCTCCACTCCCCCCTTGCCCCACCCCACAAGACAACGGTGCAAATTGCTCTTTTCCTTTGCTCTCTTGAGAGGGAGTTGAAACCACATAATACGCGGATAAGTGCACCTCATTGTAAAGAAAGGCAATAGTTACCTGAGAATAGACCAAATCGACAGTCCATCGCAATTGAGTGACCTGCCATATTTCATAAACCATAAGATAAAAAGGAAGCTTCCATACTAAAGCTTGTAATAAGTTTTTGAACGGATCAAGTGTTCTATTGTATCTCCACTTTACTTCAAGGCTATTCCCAATATCATACACAGGACAGATGAATACTTGGTAAAATTCAACCAAACAAACAAAAATATTCCGTAGTACGCAACTAGGCTACATAATAAACTCGCCTTTAATTCATAGAGTTGGTCAAGATTCATGTTGTAAAGCAAAAGTGCAAGCAATATCCTAAGTTAGTAAGTTACTACCTATGGTGTATGCACAACAAAAACGGCGAATTGTATCTATTTAGCTAATATTTTTTGGAAACCTGCAGCCATTATCCGAGGAAAACCAGCTTATATTTTGATCAAAGCAGTTACATCCAATGAATGAGTATCATTCCAAACATTTCCATAGGATCATATAGACACCATATTCAACCACATCTACCTCAAAACTATATAGTTAGAGAAAATTTTCTTAACACATCCAAAACCTTAATCAAGATTATCTGGCAAAAAACAGCTTAGCTTATGTAAAACTCAATAAAGCCAATAACTTTATGAGAACCAAACAGAGATTCCACAAAAAATAAAAGTAAAAATCAAAATTCCATTGAAGAATAATGCAAATACTTTGATAGAGCTTACGGCGAAAGTGGTGGCAGTAGCTCCGATTAATCCGAAAACAAGAATGCCCCAAAGTCTCATGTCCTCCTCCGCTTTCGCTGGCCCTTGATGACGGCGAAGCTCGTTCGGTTGCGGCCATGGATTGCCCCCATTCTCCTTCCCAGCTTCCTCCTTGCTCATTATTCTTGAATTAATAACGATTCACGGACTCTTCTTCCTCAATCGGGATTGAACCTGGAACTCAAATGCAAAGGGTGCAATCATGCTATCCCTAAATTGAAATTGGGTTTTATTTTCTTCTATGATTTTTATCGATTCGAGTTGAAAGTCTCTTCTTCACCTGTAAACGAAATCCCCTACTGGCTACTGCTGATAATATGCATATGTAAACGGTATGTTTTGTCAATTAAGTAATAGTTGAAGGACCTAAGTGTTAACATTTTAAAGTTTAGGTACTTCAGTTGTAACTAATGTTTTATATGTTTAATGTTTTGGGTTGTAGACCTCAAGTATTAGATATTTAGATGGGCTTCTTCCATTTAAGCCCAATATGATTTATACAAATATTTTCATCGTCAAAGCACAACGCCCAACTTGATAGTGATCCAAGCCTCTATTTGGGATTATCTATTCAAGACCAATTGTTATATCGTGCACCAAGACACACAATGCATTGTGTGTCCTAAAAATTCCATATTTTATATGTATATAATTATATAATAGAATACACATAAACTCCTAATATAATACACATAATTTAATATAATACATAATACATATGAACTATTAGCATATTACACATGAACTCTTAACATAATACACATAACTCTGCATTGTGCGCCCGGTGCACAATATAATTTGCCATTCAAAACTTTCACCCAAACACAAAATTTACTTGAGACATGACACATTGATATGAAAAAGGGTATTTTGTTGCTAATGAGAAATACTTTGATTTACAGGAAAGTCCGCGACATTTTTGGGTGAAGTTTGCTTTGTTATTCTGTTCCTGCTTGTATTGAACATTTGCTTTAATGAAATTTTTACTTTTCCTTTCAAAAAATAAAAATAAAAATTGAGAAGGCTAATAGATAGCTCTCACATCTCGTCTTGTCTTATCGCTCTAAAGGAGGTTGGTTCACTGACAACTTAAATTGGGAAGACCAATAGGTAACTCTCATAACCCGTCTTGTAGCCCTAAAAGAGGTTGGTTCACTAATTGGCTCAAATTGATAAGGTCAATATACAATTCTAACAAGGAATTAAACTTAAAACCATAGTCATCAAGCCAATTGAATCAATAATATTCCATTATAGATTAAGGGTTCGATCGGAACGCGAAAAACAACTTCTAAATGTCATTTTATGAATTTTTCCGTGTTTGGGTATTCAAGGAAAATAAAGTCAAATGAAAATATTTATTTTGGTCAACGAAGAAAGGCTCAATTTGGTAAAAATGTCTTTTAGTTTAGTTTTTTTTTTTTTTTGGCAGAAGACATTTTCTAGATTTTTTATTTTCTCATCTCTCTTCACTCTCTTCTTTTTTTAAGTTAATTTCTGAATTATATATTTTTACCACCACAAGATCAATTCACTACCACCACCATATATTATATTTTTACCACCACAAGACCAATTCACTACCACCACCATATATTATTGTTGTTATTGTTATTGTTATTATTTGATGGTTTTATTGGGACCGGGTCCATAAATCGGGTATAGGAACATAGGACGGGGGTAGGAAAGTAATGACTTTATTACCCAGGGCGCCAGGCCCAAAGTAATGCGTACAAAGCCCGAGGTACAGGCCCAAGACAACGGCCCAAATACAAAGAACAAGGCCCACTGGATGGGCTATAGCTGACTATGCTACTGAGTGGAATCGAACCCAGGTGATTGAATTGAGAGTATGAGATCAAGACCACTGGACTAGTGTGCCTGTCGTGTATGAGTTCTCCTTAGCCAAAGATCCAGGGCCCCTATTTATAGCAAGCCCCCCTCCTCCTCTAGCGTCCACGTGTCCCATGCAATCCATCCCCACTTCCCCATTGATCGCTACGCGAGCGGACACGTTCGCCATACTTCCAGGACTCCCGCGCATACCACCCCGGTCCACCATGCTCGGTGCACCCGCCCAGCACCCCCTCGGGAAGGGGGGGGGTGCCGTTGACAACCTGTGGGCCGCACTGCCCCCGCTGGCCGCGCCTCGGCCTGAGGTGGCCGGCGGGGCCCGGCGCGGGCCAGTCGCCGGCCGGTCATGGAGGCTGCCAGCCGCAAATATAGGACATATATATTTTCTGCGCCTTGGGAAACAGTAGGCGAAGTGGGCTGGTGGTCTTGGTCTCACGCCACTATCCGGGAGGGCAGGGGTTCGACTCCCACTGGCAGCAGCAGCGCCTTTCCTTGCTGCCTTTTACCCATGGCCAGTGGCCGCGGTGGTGGGGCGCTGCCGGCACGACCGGTGGCGCACCCCCCCCCGCCGGCCACGCCTCGCCGCCGGTTTGTTCCCCGGAAATCTTTCTCTCTCCTCCGTTTTGAACCACCACGCCCCCTTGTCTTCGTAGTCCAATAGAATTTGAGCCAATCTCCTATTATCACTGCCCTCACTTGGGTCAATACTATGCCAATAAAATGGATCCCCGGGTCTCATATCCCTATCATTATTATATTATTATTATAAATAAATAATATGTTTCATTTCCAGCAAAATGAACTAAACAGAAAAATACAATTTTTTAACTTTTAGCCAATTTTTTTTTTTTGACTTTGAGTTAAATATCAAAAACTTATAATATTTTATGAAAAATAAATCATTTTTTTTTTAAATTATTTTCCAAAAATATTTTTCATTGTTTTTCAAACGGAACTAATTCCCCGAACCAAATTCATAATATAATTTTCAGGCTAGAAACTCTATAAATTCTGGTTTCTTTCCATAACATCCACATAGAATATAATACGAAACTTCCAAAGTTGTTTCTATTACTTTTGAGTCTTCATGCTTTTGCAATCTTCAAAAAATGTTTTTTTTTTCTTTTTTTTTCTTCAAATGTTGACTTTGGTAGGAATTTTTATACAAAATTAATTCCTAAAAAAATAGTTCGGTATATATATCTAAAACTAGTTTTTCTACGCGCTTTGCGCGAATGGGATAATGCCCAATGATTCTTTTTAAATAAGCATTTCAAAGTATATCAATGCAATATTATATAGAAGATGTTCATGCATAGGTAAATAAATGTTGAATTTGTTTATTTAAATCAGTAATTTAAAGTATTAAATGCAAGATAATATATGAGAGATTGATTATATATAACTGTCACAAAAATAAATGGAATAAGGTTTAAATTGGCCACTAAACGTAACCTGAAAATACAATTAGATCATTGAATGAAAAAAAAAAGTGCAATTAGGTCACTGAACACTCCAAATGTATGCAATTTCACCTGATAGCAGGTTACCTGCTTACGTGGCAGCTGAGTTGACATTTTTAATAATTTTAAATAATTTTTAATAAATTTTAATAATAAATTTTTAAAAATTTAAAACAAATACAAAAAAGCGACGGGGTGGCCGTCGGCTACCCAGTATATTTTATTTTTATTTTTTTATTTAAATTTTTTCAATTTTTTAAAAAAATTATTATTAAAAATTATTTAAAATGCCAACTCAGCTGTCACGTAAGCAAGTAACCTGCTAAAATTGATCGTAACATGCTATCCGGTGTAATTGCATACATTTGGAGTGTTCAGTGGCTTAATTGCACGTTTTTTGAATGCTCAGTGGCCTAATTGCATTTTTATGTTACGTTCAATTGCCAATTTGAACCTTATTCCAAAATAAATGTTTGCAACTTTGTAATAACGATAGTCTAAAAGTGATAGTCTAAATAAATACAACTTTTGGTTAAATTTCTCTAATTCACGTTTGGGTAGCATTGCATTGTCTTCATCTTCAGTACATGTTTTTTTTTTTTTTTTTTTTTTTTTTTTTTTTTTTTTTTTTTGGTAGTATGTCATGTGCAATTAGGTTATTGTTGGTAACATAGAGAGGGATTCATCATGTAATGAAATTATTGTGTAGGAAGCTTTATATTTGCCTTGTTGTCTATATGACTATGATTTTAGTTGTGCTATGAACTCTTTATCTTACAAACACATGTTGATATTTGATAGTGGTAGTTTAATTTCCACATGTTTTGTTGTAGCTACTAATTTATTTTTTAATTTAATAAGAGCAATAAAGTGGCCTACATACTTTTCATCCACAATAATGAAATCATTGATTTTTTTTTTATTTCCACTTGTTGTTGACACAAATTGTTTTGAGAGTTTGTCAATGACAATTACTATCAATAGAGGATGATAATAAATAATTCAAAATATAAAGTTACAATATATATTGTTATAATAATAATAATATAGTAAAAATTAACTTATAAATTTCAATTTTTTAGAAGTTTTCATGCATTGATAAAAGCATAATTAAAATATTAAGTTTTGTTCTCGACAATCAAAATAAGATTAATTAAACAAAAACAAAAAAAAACTTAACTTAAAATTTATTTTTTTTAAATGAAAGAAAATAAAATGATTTTCAAAGTTCTTGGTTTATAATCATTGAATGCTATGTATTTAGATGAGCTAATTATTTGACCAAAGTTTATATTATATTTTTAATACTTTGTAACATATTCGTAGTATATGTTTAACAATTATGCCAACTCTAATTGGGATGTGGTTCAACCCTAAGACATTTTTTATAGAAATTAATGAGTAAGTTAAGAATAATAAATAGTTAACGGAATATTCCGTTAAGAAAGTTTATACTAACGAAATTTAAGGTTATTTAAGGGAAGAAAATAATATAATAAAGGGTAAATAAGGAAAATCAGTAAGAAATACTAAAATCAAAATAATATGAACTATTCATTTTATGAAACAATTAGGACTGACATTTTTTTATTCAAGTTAAGGGCCTAACATTATTCGCTCTTATTAAAATTGTAGATTGTAGATGTGTGTAACATATTCTTTTCCTTAAAATTGATTCGATTTTTTGAAATTAAAGGTTTTGAAGTGTTGAAACCTTAGTTTTCTTGAATTACACACGAGTTCAAGTATCTTATAAGGAACTCATTTTTAGATTTTGATTTATAGCCCCTTAATTAAGGCAGCAAGTGAGCCTTCTAGCAACACATTTAAACTTTTTAAAAAGTTCAAATGTATTCATATAGTGTAAATCCACATACTTTTCAATGTATGGCAAATACTCCATCAAAACTTACCTTTCAAAAGTTTAATTATCTCAACTTAATGAGTACACTTAGAGGATTAATTTCTCACTTGCTAATTATCCGTTTTG